AAATTTGTAATTTAGTTCGTTTTTTCGCACAGTTATATGCAAATTCTTGTTCATTATGCAAATTCGTGTTCAATTTCATCTTTTGCAGTAATGGTTACAGCTTTGATGTTAATACTTCTTCATGTGAAACTTCCAATTAATATTGACTTCTGTAGTATTCCCTTTTGAATTCTGAATTTCGTGAATTGTTTTTTATTTATTACATTAAATATTGATTTCCTATTCTTTTAAGTAAAATTTACAAGAGATAAAGTTTAAAAAATTGTAAATTCAAACGTAAAAATGAATTAGAAAGCTTTAATTGAATTGTTGTTAGTGTTTAATACGGACAATACTTTTAAGCAATAAATGCTTTTAAATCTCGCAGTAAAAAAATTCAATTCATTTATTGCTAAATTTGATTGAATTTACTCCAAACCATACAAATGAATGCAAACTAATTGGGTTTCTGCAAGCAAAATCTAGAAATTACAACCAATTCCATTATATAAATTTACTTTGGCTAAATATTTTATTCAAAAGAATTTAAAAACATTTAATCATTAACTTTATAACTATTTAAATTTGAGTAATCTGATTAACTTACCTTTGCCTTTGGTAACACATTCTTAATATGAATACTTGATTACCGTTTAATTTTGTCACTTAAAAAAGTTATTTATTGTACTGATTGTTATTTATTTATTTACTGCATATTGCATGAAAAGTATAAAAAATTATTCGCCTTCTTTAATCCAAAAATTGAATTTCATCCAAAGTAAGTCCTGTGGTACAGGAACTTGAATGCAAACAAGTTTTAGATTGAATAATTCAAGGCAGCCATGAAGAAATTGAAAAATTATAGCACAATTTAAATAGAACTCTAATGGAAAATGAAATATATACGGATAAAATGGATCAATAACATGTTGAAAATGATTTCTTGTATGAATTTGAATTAATTTAATTTCTGTACCTTATTAGATTTGTCACAACGAAGAGTAGGTCAAGAAGCAAAGAAAGGTCAAGATGGGAGGAATAACTGTTAATTTTTTTTGCAGTGTTTTTCAAGGTTTTCTGTTTGATAAGACAATTTGACTGTCAAAATAAAAATTGTACAAAAAGAGTTTCATTTCAAATTTGTACAAAGTGAAATAAAAAGTAAGTTTCATTTCAAATTTGTACAAAGTGAAATAAAAAGTAATTAAGAATAGAAAGATTGGAAATGAAATGAAATGAAATGAAGAGATTATAAAGCTTTGGAAGTGAGATTAATTTATGACTGAGCAAATGTAAAACATACTAAGCTCACTTGTTATTCTAATTTATATGCATAAATGTGAATTTGCTTTTATAATTTAATTTTGATTTATTGATTGTTGAATTTGGTGTATTTAATTTAAAACTTAAAAATATGATATTCAAAGGTAATTCTTAATTAGATTATTTAAATTGAAAGTACTAAAGCAAATATGCGACAAGCAATTTATAATCATTAATGATTAATAAAGTTTCAATAAACTCCTTGTAAAATTTTTTCAATCTCTCAAAGTACTAGCAAACACACTAGTATATATATCGCCAAACTAAATTATATAAATATAAATATATAATATAATAGTATAAATAACAAAAATAATAAAAATAATAGAATAGTAGTGCAAATAAAATAAATAATAGTAAAAAAATTTACAAAACTGATTGTTTTTTATTAATAACATAAGTAATATATTTATACTATTTTATAATATAAATATATTTGATCATTTTTATTAACAAACTAAGTAAATATTCAAATTATTAAAACTTTTAAATAACTCATTTTTATCATTACGAAAATCACTATTTTATATTCACACATACTTCATTATTACAATTAGTCTGTGTAAACTTTGAAAACATAATAATGATGTTCGCTTGCTGTTTCTCTTAACACTAACAACTTTTGAATTCAAATATTTGCATTTTTTATAAGTTCTTAAAATGAACAACTTGAGTAAACTAAAATTTAAAGGTTAAAAATAAAAACATTTTAAAAAATATGCAAATTTAAAATCGAACGTTTTGTTTTGCTTTATTAAAATAATTAATAATATTATTTAAAGCGTTTTTAAAAAATTAAAAAAAAACTCATTCATTTAATAATATAATATATTCAGGTCTCTTAATTTTTGCTATAATTGATTAATAACAATTATTCAAATTTTATCCAACTATTTAAACAATTACAACCATTTATTCTTTATTTCTGCCGCACTTTAGCTATTAGTAATGTTATGGCAGCTATAATTTGCATATTTATTGATTAGAATGCAAATTATTTTTGCGAAAATTGTAAAAATGCTTTTATCAAAATGCATTATAGTAGACGGACAGATATACAAACACAGCAAAAAATATGATCGTTTTTAGCAAATATAAGCAAAAAATAGAGTGAAAACAAATAAAGCTATGAGGAAAAGTAAAATAAAAACAAATGATTAGTTTTTAGACTTGTCGATGATTTTCAATGCCAGCTGCAACAATAAATATGTTTGAGTAGTACATTTTATCATTAAAGACACAATCATAATGCATTTTTACATTCAATTTTATATTATTAATTTTATTGATAATCATACATTAAAAATAAACCATGATTTTATAAAATAACCATGATTTTTACAATTATTAAATCTGTGTTCTTATTTTTGGTAAAATTTTATGATTATAACTGATGTGTGCAGCAAATACAGGGAAGGTGCTTTGTGTTGTTTATTGCAAGTATTCAGTTGAATAATCACTAAATTGATAGTTAGTACTTGTCAACTTATTAAGACTATTATCATTGTTGATACATTTAGAATCACTATAATATCAGAATAATTTCAGAAAATCAAAAATTCAAATGGTATCTACAGTATTAGTTCAACGAAATCTTACTCCGCAACAAGTAACTCGAGCCATCGCGAAATTAACACCCGAAACACTGGGAACAGAAAAACGACTCAGTTCACCACTGCATAAGTTTGCTACTTTCAACTGTTTTTCTTCAAAAATTTTCCATTCAGTTAATATTAACTCAAAGAATAAATTAATTAAAACAATGCTAATATATCACAAATATCAGACAGCTAAATCAAATTTGATTCAATCAATTGTTAAATTTATTTTCGCGGCAGTATTTTAAAATATTTCAGAATAAATATTGCCATTCGGTACTAAAATTTTATAAGTAGCAATCAAATATTTCCTTGCATTTCTGAACATGCAAAGCAGATAAATGCTTGCAGAATTATAAGCATTTCTATCAAACTATGTCAATGAATATTTAAATATTTGAAGTTATTTTCACAACGTTTAGCAATTGTTATTATGCACAAGTTTTTCGTTTTTTTTTTCGAATTAAAAAAAGTTGACAGAAGAAATGATCGTTGCTTCGCAGTAATAATTATTATTCTATCGTCTCGAATGTTTGCAGTTGAAGTTAGATCAGTCTTTCAACTGCTATTTCTTGCTAATCCCATAGATATTTTTTTCACAAAACCTTTAGAAAGTAATTGAAATTTGTTTGTGAACTGAAATTGATAAAAAAAGTTTGTATTAATTTTTCAATTACTAAATTTTCCGTTAATTTAAATTGATAAAAATGAATACATCAGTTTTTCAGTTATTAATTTTTTAATTCTCTAATATATATATTAGACAAGATCGATCGTATTAGAACTTTTTGAAAATTGTCTTCATTATATTTTCCTACTGCACACAATTTTATTTTGAGACAAAATTAAAAGGTCACGCAATCATTTCAAGTTGTATACAATAATTGGATTGTATTTAATTTTCCATTAAAAAAAAATAAGATTTTATGTCATATTCAAATTTTTTTAATTTGATTTACATTTTACGCTTGAAAAAAACCGTCTGAATTTTACTTCTCCATCAAATAATATTTACAGCAAGTAGTTCAAATATTACACTAAAATGATAGCTAAAGTATTTATTTGCAAACTAAGAGAGTATAGCAAAAAGTTTCTAAAATAATGATTCATTACAAGAAGTAGAGAAAAATTTTCACAAATAATCACAACATTAAAATTTAACAAATGTTTTTAGCTTAAGAGAAAATGTTAGTTAGTTAGTATAGTTTGCATGCAATGTGACTGACTAATTAACTTTTATTCCTGAGCTTTTTTTTAAGCTTGCATACGAGTAACTACTTGTAGTCAAGTAAATTCACGTAATTCACGTACATTAATAATTAATAATTATTAATTCACTGAGATGCACGTGATGACTTATATTGTAAACTGATTTGATTTGAAAAGCATTCTTGAAACATTCAAAGTGAAATATTTAACTATGAATTCATTTTTTCAATTTTTCTTAAATTCTATTACTTTTTTGCTTTGCATAGATTTTAATAAAATCCGTTGCAATGTCAATATGCTGCAAACTGAATTTTAAATTTTATTTTAGAAATAATTAAACGATTTGCAGTAATTTATTTTCTATTTAACACTTTATGTTAATTTTCATTTTTTTACTAATAATTTTTTGAAATTTTTTTTGCAATTTTGAAAATTTATCTGAAGTGAATGCAAAATTTGAAGTTTGAAATTAAAATTATTAAAATTCTGCAACCATTTCAGTTTGAAAATGCTACATCTTAGCAGTATAATAATTCAAAAATTTTCTTGCTGCAATGAAAGTTATTTTTTGATCTATATAACAATGTTGTAGTCTTATTTTGCTATTTATTGCTTGTTCAAAACATTTTAAAATAAATTACATTGTTATTTTGCTAGCAAACGTTTTTTAAAATTATTAATATAATGTTTTATTGTTATTAAAGTTTTGAAATTAATTAATGCATAAATTGTTTGATTTCGGAAATGAAACTTAAATTTTAAATTGAAAACACAAAAAAATTTCATCTATATAGTTTTTTTCGCTAAATTTCAAATTTTCACACTTATTTTGAGAGCCTAGCAAAAAAACAAATTTTTTTACTTATTAAAGTTACTAAAAAATGAGATAATTTACCATTTCCCCAAAAGAAACATTAAAAAATGGTTTTTCAGAATTATTTGTTATAACTTATTGTTTGAAATTTTTCAAACTTACTTGATACTATCTGCTAATTTTTCTAACTATTAATTAATGACTTGCTGATTTTGTACTTAAATATTGAAAGATCGAGAGAATCCAATTAAACTTGAAATTACTTCTTTCTTAATAAAACGAGTAATTAGCAATTTAAAAGTTAGCTTAAAAAAGTACTCTGACTTTTGTCAGACTTTTATTGATTTAACTCTTTACTGATATTGAAAATTATTAGTATAACTTTTTACTGTGCAAAAGTTTCTAACTGTACCCATTATTTTTGTATTGTTTTTTCTTAAATCAAAATATTTTGTGCTTTAACAACATGTAATCCGCTTAATTATTTGAAAATATTTTATTCTAATTAATAGTTTTTTAACTTTTATTACCTTTGCTAATAAATAGATTTAATTTTGACATAATTATTTTTGAATTAAAAAATACGTTTAAATGCAAATTTTAATTGCTTGCATGAAAATTTTCTAATGTCTTGGTCGAAATATAATATTTATTATTTACTCTATCTAATTACTTCTTTTTCAAAATATTTTAAAAAGTGCTTTGCAATTTTTACAAATAAATTTGAACAACATAAAATTTTTCATTGCAATTTTTCGCAAACCAGTTGTGCTAAATATTGTTTGCTCAAACTTTATTCAATGAAAAAGTAAAAAATTTCAACAATTTTACATCAAATCAAGTAGGTTTTCAGATTATTTCAAACTTTTTAAGTTATTTTAAAGCAAATCGGCACACTTCTGCTAAGTTGTATATGCTAATTATACTTTTGAAAAGTTTGCAAAAAGTCGTAACTACAAAATTACTCGTAAGTAATTAATTAAAGCAAATGTCAATTTTCATAAATAAGTAAAACACTGTTACCTGAGAAATAGAGTGATTAGTAATCGAAACAATTGTATGAAGTAGTTAAGACGTGTATGACACTACGTGAATATTGCGACGTGTATGATTACGTCAATATTTGTGATATTTAGTACCTACCATCAAAAAGTGAGTAAATTAAAAACTACACGCAACAGTATAGCTGAAATTCGTTTTCAAATTTTAATTTCAACTTTTAGAAAGTCAAAAAAGTCAAATAAAATATCTGTTTGCACAGTTGCTGTGAACTTTTTATAAATTTTGCCTTTTGCTTTGTATTGAAAATAAAATAAATTGTATTCATTTTGTGATTATTACGGAAACACAAATCAATCAGTTCTCGTCGAAATGGCGCTTTTTTCAGTTTTTAGATTATATTTGTGAATAATTTTTCATTTTGTATTGTGCTATTGTCATTATTATCAATCGTTTCATTAATACGCTTATTAATAGCTAACGTATTTCTTTCTAGCACTACTTGCAAGGAATTTTGCAAATTTTGAGAAAAATTAATAATAATAATAATAATAATAATAAATGTCACTTTTCTTTTTATTGCCCTCAATATAATTATGCATGCCATTATTCAATTGATACTATTAGTGATTGTAAGCTTTGCTGTTATCATTGTCATTTCTATTATCATTATTATTGATATTAATACTAGTTATTCTAATAATTATTATTGTCATTTTGATCACAATCATTTTCAATATTGTTAGCCATTTTTTTCGGTAATGATATAATTTAGAAAGTATAATATTTATGCTAAATTTGTTTTTTAAAGCATAAACAGATGCTTATTTTTTGAATAAATAAAATAAAAATTAAATAAATACATCAATGACTAATTCAATAATTATAATGTTAAGTATCGACAGCAGCTTCCATCACGACTTTTTAATAATTTGACTGTTATCATTATGTCTTGATATAATCATCATAATAATTACTATCAATGTTATCAGTATGAGCATGAATATTGTTACTGATTTGTTAGCGTTATAATTTCTACGTGTTATAAAAACAAATGATAATATATGAATAAATACTTGTGATTGTATTTGTTAGGAAAAAATAAGCAGAATATGTGCTACTACAATAATAGTAGTAGCCACTATGTTTATATAATAATTAGTACAGATTATTTGTTATTTCTTATAGATTATTCATCGTTGATAACCAGTTTACTTGCTGTCATCTGCAAATGACCTGAATGAATTTTGGTGAATTTTATCAGGTCATTGAATTTTACAGCAAATATTAACATGATAATTAGAAAATTTATTTAGAATTAAATACATTTTTGTAGTAGAAAAGTTTTCTTAATTTTACTGGCATGACAATTTTTTCCTTGAATCGAATTTGATTAAGATCTATGCAGTTTATTTTGAATTACTTTATAGACTTTTTCTAGCATGCTAAATTTCAAATTTACTAATTATAAAATGTGCAAATTTTCAAGAACATTATTGAATAACATTGGAAAAGTGATTCATTTGTTACTTTTAGTTTGTCAAGAAAAATTTTAATCAGAAACAGTAAAAATTTTTGGAACGTTACTTCACGTCATACTGAAATTATTACGGCGGGCTAAACTCAATAAAAATGGTGTTATGCTGGAATATTTTTTATTTTCTAATGATTTTTCAGTACAAATTAAGAATGCATTTCAGAAGTCATTCTCTCCTTAAGTTTTTTTTAAAACTGTCACAATTCTTTCATTTTTTTCTGATAATATTTAAGAATATGCACTTTTTGTTATAGCCAAAATTTGCATATTCCTAACTTAATTACTCTGAGGTGTATTAAACCCCTACATATTTTTTTACTGTTTTTTTTTGAAAATTTTCATAATTATTTCACAAACAGTAACTATTATTAATCTTTTATAACTGAAATCTTTTTATTTGCTTGCTTAAGCCTTTATGTAAAGTTTACTAATTTTCAACTTTTTCAAAAATTTGCATATATTTTTTGAAAATTAGAAAATTTGTGAATTTTATTTATTAATTAATTAGATATTTTTAACTATTTTAAAACTTTTTACGCGGTTTTTTGCAAAATTTTTTCTGATAACAGCAATAATAGTTAAGTCTATTTGTGAATAGCATTTCTTCTGCAGTTGTTGTAATTAGCATAAAAAATAACGAAAAAGGCAAAAATTAGATTTTTTATACAGAAGCTTGCATTAGCAGCTGATTAAATTTGTGTCATCATAACAGAAGAAATTAAAGTGGTAGAATTACTTTACATTACTGCGTGCGTGTATTATTCTCCGTGCTACTGAAGTTTATTTTTTTATACTTTTTAGATTCTTAAATTCTTTCTGTCACTCTTTAAAATTAGAAGGAATTTCCAGTCAGTCTGTAATTTATTCATTGGCATTAATTATAGAAGCTGGTTATCGAACTCTATGAACTATCTATCAAGTTTTTTGCGAATCTGAATCTCTTCCATTCCTTAAAATTCTTTCTTACAACACAATTTCATTTATTATTATTATTATTATTATTATCATTATTATTATTATTATTATTAATTATTTTGATTTTTAATATTGCGACCATATTATTTGTCATTTACACTACTACTATTGCTTCTTCCATTTTTAACATCACTGTTATCGTTATTATTATTACTTTTTTATGATACGAAGGTCAGTGCCATTCTGAAGGATAAGTAGAATATTTTTTGCTCTAAGCATGTCAGTGAACTTCAGTGCAGTTATTACTTCTTACGTTCTCATTAAATTTCCAAAAAAAAAAATCATTAATGCTACTTTTTCCACGTCAGAAGCCAAGTTGACAGTATAATAACAGTTTAACGTTGAATTTCAGTACTTAAGAATTTACATAAGTTAACATTTGAGATAAAATATAAAGTTAACATCTAAGATTAAATATATATTATTACGCATTTATTTAGATAGTATAACTAACTGTAAACACTGTGTGTATAAGATTTTACACGTAAATACGTAAATACGGGTATATCATGGAAATACATGCATGAGAGTGTGTACACGTATTATAGTAGTAAAATAATAATGACAGTTAGATATGGTTGCCAATGGAGATTATGAACAACTCTCGAATGAATAGTGGCCAAGTAATTTTACAACGCTTTAGAACTACTCAACCTTATTTCAATTAACTGTTATTATTTTATTTCTTTTTCCAATTGATTGTTTAATTTTTTCAATCACTTTGATCAATGATACGATGGATTGATCAGTTTCTTTTGATTCGATCAGACAAATTAAATAAGCAAGTGAGATATTCAATAAGTATTATAATAGTAATATATATAATACTAATATAAAAGCTATAGGAATAATAAAAAATCATTAACATTTTTTATAATAGCATCGCTATTAACTTAAAAATGTCATTTGAAATAAAATCATTGCAAATTATTTGCAAAAATAAGTGGAAAAAAAGTAGTTGACGTGAAAATTTGAGATGTATTAAAATATTATTTGCAAAATTAATAATACAGTTGCGTCGTTTATTCTTTCGGTGAATCTTTGCTTAGTAATTGGCAAATGCAAATTAAATCAAAACATCTTTGAAATTATGCAAAATATCAAAACATTTTCAACATTGTGCTAAAAAATAAATATAATTATATTTCATATGCAAATATCTGCAAGTAATTGGCTTTTATTATAAAGCAAAATGTTTATTATATTAAAAAATAATCCAAACAAGTATTCATTCGTTTATTTTCTTTCCAAATGTAATAATAATATTTGCATAAGAAATTTATCGCTTAATATATTGAAATAGAATAATTACACAAGATTTATGTAGCAATAAATATTTTTGGATTTTATTAATTAGATATTTTCACTAATAAAATTTTATGCTCAATTATTTAAAATTATTTAAAATGTGTAATAATATTTGCATAAGAAACTTCTCGCTTTATATATTAAAATAGAATAATTACACAAAAATTATGTGACAATACATATTTTTGAATTTTTTTACTTATCAAATATTTTCACTAATAAAATTTTTTGCTAAATTTGCTTGTAAAATTACTCAAAACGATTTACAAATAATTCAAAATTTGCAATAATTTTGCGAGGAAAATCAAACATATAGCTACTTATACCATAAGTAAATTACTTTAATTACTTTAATAAATAAACCTACTTTAATATTTAGAATTAAAATTAGAACTAAATATCAGTACTCGAATCAGTCAATTGTTTTTATACAAATCAGCTGGATCGAGAAAAAATTAGTGTTTTTCAAAGAAATGGTTTTATTCTTTGATTTTTGAAAAAGCTGTGGAACATATTTAAATTTTAAATTATAACTTATAATAAATATTATATAATCTAATCCAAATTACAAAACATTTTTTTACAATTTTAATTATTTCTTTTCATATTTTCAGGTTTTAAACTTTAAATATTTTTAAACTTTAATTTTTCCAAAGATTTTGTTATCGAATTAATTCACCTTCTATTGTATAACTGAGGTCAAAACTTCTTGCATTTGTTTTCCAACTGTATTTATCTCATATCTGTTATCAGTTCACAAGTAACTTGTTTTCAAACTGTAAGAAAAAAACTGACAAAAGAAATTTGTGGGAAAAAAAATTGAAAATTTTGAAATTTGTGAAGATGTAATTATACATTCATATTTGCAAAATTAACAAATTTGCATATTTACATAAAATTTTTGCATTCAAATCTTTGTGTATAAACACACAACTTCCTTATGGACAAACACACACACACACACACGCACACACACACGCACACACGCACAGGCATAAACTTTGAGAATGTTTTGCTATAAAAGGAAGTAAAAGTTAGTGTTGTAATAAAATGTTAGTTTAATTTTTAAACAAATGCAAATGTAATGACACTCTCAGAGAGTGTCATTACATTTGCATTAGTAAAATCATATAAATAAAATGTAAATACAGTGACTTTTGACTTATAAAAAAGCAAAACAATTTTTTGCTATTTTTCTCTTTGCAAAATTATTTCATTCTTTAAATCAATAATGTGACCTTTAACCTGTCAGCAATAATGGTCAGCTTTAATTAATGCTCTTGTTAAGGTCAACAAATAATGACACTTCTTTTCTCTCTCCTCAAAATCCATTATATATATATATTATGAGTAATTTTTTTATAGAAAAGTTCTACCTCATTTATCACTTTCAGTTGAATGCTGAAAGAGTGTTGAATATTGTTGAATTTTGTTGCGATCAAGAGATCAAGTACATACGGAATTAATTAAAATAAAATAAATTTTAATTAAAATATATTGAATTAAATATTGATATTCTGTTGTGCTAAAAGCATACAAATTTAAATTTGTGTTAGATACGATTTTCGATTTTTTTAAATCCAAAACAGTACAGTAAAATTGTACAAAAAATATAATTTTGCTTTAAGTATGATTTATTTTATGTAAAAATATTATTATACATCAATTTAATATATGTTATTTATTGTTTATTTATTTTTTATTTTATTTTTTTTAAATTTTTTTAATTTTTATTGATGTTTATTTCTTTCTTTATTTATTTTATATTTTGATAAAATAACATATTAAAACTGCATAAATTTAGCATTGCTAAGCACAAACTTTCATTTAAACATAAACATTAAGTAATTTGCATAATAAATTTGCATAAAAGTATAGCATATTTGTTTATACTTTAATGATTACAAATGCAAATTTAATTTGTTCAGTAAGAAAATACTCAATGCCAATTTATGTCATAAAAAGAGCATTTATCCATTTCTGTGTCATTCATTCATTCATTTTTTGTTTTGCTGAAAACGTTCACTTGTTGATTCATTGCTCTGAAATCAATCCATCAATCAGTTAGTACTTTAAAAATTTTCAAAGTTTGAACTAAATTAATTTTTAATTACAAAAAATAAAATTAATTAATTTATTAAAGTAATTGAATATGAGTGATTAAGTAATGACTGATATATTATACAATATTTATTGAGAAATTTTTATACTAAAATTTGATTAATTAATTCAAATTATTAATCAGTTATTGATCAGATTTATATTTGTTATATTTTTTGTAATAAAAATAAATGACTGATTGATTTGTTGATTGATTATTTCAGTAATAAAAATGATTATAGACGACTGATCAAATATCATCGTGGTGGACAATTTACTAGGATTATTGAGTCAAATAACTGGTTTCTTGAGAAGAGTTTATTGCTGTGTATTCAACGTATATCACTCAGAAAGTTAAAACAAGAACAGCAACAACAACGTGAACAAGTTTTTCCATTATCACCAATGGCTACAGCATCAGTAATGCAACAGCAAAAACAGTCAAAAGTCAAAAATGTTTATAATAGTAAGTTTATTTTGTAGCATTTTTGAAATAATTAAAATACCATCAAGTAAATGACTTATATTATTTCAGTGTGAATAGAATTAGCATAAAAGTAAATCAAAAATGTTCTGATTTATTCATTTAGAACATGACTTACTTCATCATCTCATTCTTGCTCTTTGAGTTCGACTTATATTATCCAATTAAGCAAGTCAACGCATGCGGTTATTTTATTTATATCACTTTTCTTCTGTTTTAATTCATGGAGTTTATTTTAGCTCAACAAGTCAACTTATGACGTTTGTTTAACTTATTCAATCTAAACTCAAACTTAAATATCAATAATTTAATGATTTAATCAGTTACTTCATTTACCATATGATTTTATATGTTCGAACTTTACTAATCATAACTGATCTCATTGGAGCTGATTATTTAATCTATTTGATCATAAAAACGCGCTTGAATTTTTTAAAATATTTTTACGTTTTGATTTTTTTCAAAAGTTTTTCATTTTTTTTTCTAATAGAAAATGTTAAGATTTATGAATTAAGGAATTCTGTACATATAAATAAGTGCAATATCATAAAAATCAGAATTGTAACGACAATTATTTGCTCAAAATAAATCATACAAAAGTGAAATAAATTTAAAAGGATTAAAGGTGATTTTTGTATAAAATGTCAAGCATTCTGCAATAAATTCAACGTTTAAGAATGAGTTATTGTATAGAAAGAATGGAAATAAACTGTTGACACTGTTGAAAAAATGCTTACAATCACTACCAAAATATAAATCCAGTCAATCTACCAAAAAACCATTCTTCTGAACATTTTTACTACCACTACAACAAATAAGAATAAAATTACTTCCTATTGGTATCTTTTATCTATTCTAAGTTATTCTGTTATAGTCGTGAATCTTTCACTATAGTAATTACTGTTTTAGTAATTAATTAATTTCAAACTTTGAAATAACATAATTAACGTTATAAACAGAGTAGATGATTGATAAATATGATAATTGAATTGATAAAAATTATATTTGATAAGGTTTATAACTGGTATAGTGACAGTGTTGTCAGTAGTAAAAAAATAAATCAAAAATTATGAATGATATTTTATTGCAAAAAGATAGATAAATTTTGATCAAAGTAATGATTATTGATGATGGGAAAAGAATTTGTTTATAGTATAGATAAAACTGATATTTGAAAATTAAATCGTTTTTCGAAAATTCAAAAAATTTTTGAAACTTTTTTAAATTATAATATTTGCATTATAAATATAACAAATGATCAAAAAACGAAGTACTACTTTTTTGATTATCCAACTTTTAGGCGGAAATAATTAATTTGCATTCTGTTCGTTTCAAATTTTTTGAATTCTAAATAAATGTGTTACTTAAATTAAAAGTAACTGTTAACTTTTTTAAATGAAAAAATCGAATCAAAGAGTAAGAATGAGATAATAAAGTCAATCATGTTCTGTTATGCTGTTTTTTAACTCAAATTTTTTAAATGTACAAAACAGTTTGCAAAGTCAATTTAATTTAATTTAATTTAATCTAATTTAATTTCTGAATTGTCAAAATAAAAAATTTTTCTATGAAATTTTTAAGAATTTTTGAAATTCATCAAAGATTTTATTAATTATTTGACATGAAGCATAATTTTATTACATAAAATAAAAATTAGACTTACTGATCTTCAGAAACTGAATAGTAACAAAAATTTGTAATTTATTACTACAATCTTGCCTCCCACACTATTGTAAACTAGATCTCTAGCTCATTTTCAGTGATCTATTTTTGAATTTGATTAATGCTTCAACTGTCACAACAGGTATGCTACCAAAAAATGATTAAAAAATTAATTGAATTGAAATTTAAGTACTTCAGGTTATTCCTTCTTGTTTTTCTCTTCTCACTGTTTTATAATAATTAATTACTTGCATAATTATTATATTTATTAAGCTATGCAACATTTTACATCTATAATTCTAAGACCTTTAATACTTAGTTTTAGTGAATTTTTATGCATTTTATTCAAAATTTTAAAAGTTTTAAAATGTAGTCATTATGTTATTAATATATAATACTCCGTCAATTCCGAAATTGAACTAAATTGTCCTTTTAAAATATTGTTTATTTCTATAAAATATTAAATATTTTGATAATTTAACTCCAATTTTTCCAAACTCAAAAATCCGCGACGTAAGTTATACGTTTTTTAATTATATTAACTGCAAACTTATATCTAAACTGAATTTCGAATTCTAAGATGATTCAAGTATTGTAAGCTAAAATTTTTCCTGTATTTTTTATTGTTCATAAAAATTTTTTTAGTTTTACGAGGCAATCAATACGTTATCGAATAGTGTTACGGAATTGTAATATTGAAATTTCAAATATTTACGTAGTTTTCTTTCTTTTTTTTTTTGAGCAAAATTGCAATAAAAAACTTTTTAAATAATTCAAAATATTTTACTATAAATACAGTGAAAAAAATTTTATTTAGCATGCTGAATTTAAAAAACTGAAAACAAAATTAGCATAAAATATGGAAAATTACTGAAACCATTAATTTTTAGTTCATCTAACAAGGCCTTTTCAAATATCCCTCGCTGACCTTAAGTATTTGACCTCATTTTGTAATAATTTGTACACTGTATCAAGAATTTTCTGATTATGCATATTATTCAAGGTCAGAAGTTTAATTATTGGCAATTCTACTCAACTCCTATGCATAAAATGTAATCAATTTAAATAAATCGTTTTGAAAAGTAATACTTTGTAGCATTTTTTTGCCATCTAAGGTTCAAGGTTATTTTGGGCTACTTTTTTCCAAACAATATTATCGTCCATTGTTTTGCACATATTTTGGCAGTAATTTAATAATTAATAATAGCACTTATTTACTAGACGTGCAGATGAACATATTTCCGTATCTCCAAATGCGTGAAAAGACAACGCAAACGCAAATGATTTTTTATCTATTTTCTAATATTGTATCAATCAGCATTGTATACTTTGATGCCTTTTTTTACGTAAATTTCTGACGTAAAAACTTGTTCACGCATACGATCAAATAATTTATTTAATGAAACAATAATATAAATATATGAGAGATTGTGACAGCATGTAAAATAATTAAAGTTATTAATTTTCAAGCATTACTGTTTTTATGATAGACTGTTGTGCGTGTATTTACATAATTGTGCAAGCGTGAACTCAACACCTGAGCACTTCCACGTGTGCGTATTCAATGTAATACGCAAGAATAAATAAAAGAGAGTGCAAGCACAAAAGTTTTATTTGAATGTTATCGATTGTGTATGAAATGAAATAAAGTATCGTTCATGGCATCAATTTGAAGGTGCAAACATCGGTGGAGTGGTAGACACGCGTACCTTTGCCTCACCTCAGCTCACCTCGCCTCGCCTCGTCTCGCCTTCCTTGCTTTGCTTTCCTTCTTTCTCTCTACTTTTCACACTAAGTCAGAGAGTTTGTCTACTTGTGACTAAATTGAATGAATGAATGAATGAATGAATGAATGAATGAATGAATAAATGAATAAATGAATAAATGAATGAATAACTTGTGAAAAGTTTTAATTATTAGATTTTCATACATTCTGCTATCCATGTAAAAACGTCTATTAAAGCGCCAACATTTCAAATGATACTTTTGCATCTTTAAGTTAAACACTTCACAGACTGATTAATTCTTTCATATTTTCATTATTATTATTAATACCATATTATTTATTATTATTATTATTATTTGTTATCATCATTATTAATAATAATAATTTATTATTATTAGATTTATTATTGATCTATATTATTATTATTAGTAGTAGTAGTATTATCACTATTATTATTATTAGTCATTATTATTCTGTGCCATTATTATAATTTGTTATTATTACAGTCTGTTATTACTATTATTATTCATAACTATAATGAATTATTGATTACTATTTGAAAAAACGGAAGATAAATCTCCATAAACGCTTTCGATAAACTGTTTTGGAATAATATATATACATATTGAGCATGTCACAAGATTTGACCTTGGAATAGTTTTCATCGGAAGGTCATAACTTCATCCGAAAAGAGCAACTTTTTTTTTTGCATATTTTCTGGTTAATGATTTATGCTCATTTTATAATGCAATTGATTGAAAACTTTGTGAATTTAAAATCATCTTTCCACTGATCATATCAGATAGAAATCGCTATTATTATCGCACTGATCTGACCAAGTCTAGTTTTGCCTTACTTTTCGTGCTATTATTGTTATTATGTTTGCTGATATTATTATTATTATCACTAAATATAGTATTTAAATTATTATTATTGCGACTAAGAAATCAAAATTCCTTCGCAAACAAAATCGCAAAGAATGATTCTTTTGTTCATTTACGACTTCATATGATAGATATTTTCTCATACAGCGCTCAGTCAGCACTTTCGAATTTCAAAAATTATAATCTTGTTGCTGACAAAATAATCTCACTTTTATATGTATTTTTAATAAATATAATTACTAAAAGTGACTCTTTGTGTGATTATTTCATCTATTATTTTTATATTTTATTATTAAAAATTTCATTTAAAAAGAAAATTAAATTCATTAATGAATTAAATTATTACATTCATAAATCATATAATATCATTGTGATTAATTTTGCGAATTTTCACTACGTTGTCGCATTCACTACGTCTGCTCCGCGAATGCTCCGTAAAACTTTCACACGTAAAATTTAATCTTTTTTTTTCGTAATTTATTATTTTTCAATAAAAGAAGAAATTAAAATTTTCTGAAATTAATAAGTATAAACGTGAAATGATAAAAGTAACAAAATACAAAATCATAATTTTATAAATTTTCAGATTTAAATGATAAATAATAAAACGATTTCTTAGTTAATTTGTTGTTTTTTAAACAATTAATAATTGATTTGATCATTAAAAATTAATTAGAATTTAATAAGTCAATTAAATAAAAATTATTTGAAAAATTAAATTTTGTTC